CTTATAAAGACCCTGGTCATTAGATTAGGGCTACTTTAGTCTGACCTCATTTAAACTTGATTACATCTGCAAAGACCTTATTTCCAAATAACGTCATGCTCACAGGTCCAGGCAGATGTGAATTTGGCGGGGGCATGCTATTCACCTCAGTATAGATGGAAAGACCTTGGGGGCTTCTGAGAGGGGAGGCCCAGGAGCGGACGGAAGTCAAGTTCTCCACGCATCCCTCGGCCTGCTACGTTGGGAGAGAGCACGCGGGGTGAGGGCGGGCTCACGGGGACACAGAGCACAGAGGGGATACCACAGCACGGTCCAGGCGAGAAGACGGCGGCCTGGACCAGGCAGAGGCAGTGCAGGTGGAGGGAAGCAGCTGGCCTTGGACTTCCCTTTGCAGGTGAGCCAGTAAAAGGCGACCCACCGTTTGGGTGTGAGATGTGAGAAAATGAGGCCTCAAGGGTGACCTCTGGGTTTTAGCCAGAGACACCGGAACAGCGGAGTTGCCATCAGTGCCAAGAGCCGACTAGTTACCGGACACAGTTCCTCCAGTGGAGCGTGGACCTAAATACAGAGCTGGCCCCGCCCGTCAGCCCTCCTGTGAGCCCAGGAGAAAGGCCACCGGGGCCTGTGTACACTGGCCTCAATCCAGTCACTCCGGACGCCCCTGCTCCGGGGCCCTGCGCTCCACTCACACCCGTCTCTGTGTGCACCCACTGCCTGTCAATGCGGGGGTCACAAGCCTTGGGCCCTTCTGCGTTGACACAGGGCCCTCCCGGCAACTGGTCTGTCCTAGGGAGGACTGGGCTGGCCCTTCCCAGGGGGTGGGGGGTACCACCAGCAGACAACAGGGGCTGCACAGGGCAGGAGAGGTCCCTCGGGTGGGGACTCTTGTGGCTTTCGGTGACTGCGTCTCTGGCTGGGCTGACCAGCTGGGCTCAGCGAATCCTGCGGGCACAACCTCAGGCCTGGAGCCCGCTGCTGTTTCGTCGGGGCCAAGGGTGGTTCACGCTCATGAAAAAGGGTCTTGCTGCCCAGGCTGAAGGCACTCACCAGCCGCCACGCCACAGGGTCACTTCAAGCTCGCCACAAGGCAGGTTAGAGAGCCACAGTCCACAGTCCTAATTTGAGCTCTGAGATGTCTGTGGACCTCTCCCTTCTGCCGGGAATTCAAAGGACTTGGTCCAACATCTGGGCGAAAAGGAGGCTGGCCCAAATTCCGGGCAACTGCCTGGTCTGGGCAGCAGAAGACGTGGCTGTGAACTGCTGAGGAATTTCCCGGGCGAGGAGGAGAGCCGTCAGAGCCTCGGTTTTCCTGTCTGTAAGATGGGCTCTCGCTCCCATGTGTGCTGGGCGGGGATGGCCCTGTGACTTTCAGGCTCTGTTCTGTGGAGAAGCCTGGACGAGGGTGGGAGGGAGGGGACTCTGAGCGCTGCTTCCTCTGTCCATCCCTTCCTGCCTCAGCCAAAACAATTCTGGTTGGTCTTCCAAGTAAAAGTTCACTTGAAAATAAATCCTGGGACTTCCCTGGTGGCACAGTGGTTAAGAATCCGTCTGCCAATGCAGGGAACACAGGTTCGTTCCCTGGTCCGGGAAGATCCCACATGCCGTGGAGCAACTAAGCCCGTGCGCCACAACTACTGAGCCTGCGCGCCTAGAGCCCATGCTCTGCAACAAGGGAACCCACTGCAATGAGAAGCCCGCACACCGCAAAGAAGAGTAGCGCCCTCTCACGGCGACTAGAGAAAGCCCACGCGCAGCAGTGAAGACCCAGTGCAGCCAAAAATAAATAAAAATTAAATAAAAAAATATATATATATATATATATATATATATATATATATCTTGAAGTAAGGGATGTGCAAAACCCACTGACCAGCACTTCAGGATCTCATGGGTCTGATGTCCAGTCTAGGGCTCCTTGGGTTGTGGTCAGAGGGAGCTGGGGCACAGCTGGGGCCCAGCTCTGTCCACCTCCCTTTCCAGCCCTTGGAGAGCTGTGCTCCTCTTATATCAGTCATGTGATGCTGGGTGAGCTGCCCATCACAGGGCCCCACCCCCTGAGTGGACATATGATTCAGGCCTGGCCAATCATAGAACTCCTCCCCCCCCCCCCAAGTGATAAGTCCAAGGCTTAGCTATGTGACTAAGGCTGGCCAATAAAGGTCCTTCCCTGGAGCACCTATATTCTGAAACAGGAAGAGAGATGCTCTCCCTTCTCTTTTTTCATCAAGCTGGAGGACCTAAGCCCGAGGATACCAGCACTGTGTTTCCCACTGCCGGGAGAAAACCTGTTTACTCTCAGAGAAAATGAGGTCCTCATAGAGACCCCAAGGTGGGGAGAGATGGAGACAGCATGAGATCTCATGGCACTGAAGTACCTGGTTACAGCCTTCATGGCTCCCAGAGTGGCCTTTGATCGGGAGCCTCTTCTGGTTTGAGTTTCTGTCACTGACAAATACAGGAGTCCTGTCCGATCCACAACCAACGGGGAAAGTCAAGAAAGCTCGCTCGGCAGCAAAGTTCCCAGAGGGGAACTTTAAGCTTCTCGAGGCTAAGTGTAACTAAGAACTTTGCTTTTTATTTACTTATTTATTTAGCGGTGTCCTTTCCTTGAGAAACCAAATACAGTTTGCACCACGCAGACAGCACTTGAGACGGGTTTAAGGGATGGAGAGAGGGGAGGCAGGAGGAACAGGCGTGGGGCTGGTCCAGTTTTAAAGGGACCTGACAACTGGCCAAGAGCTAGGTAGGCATGCTCCAACCCTCTTTTTATTTATTTAATTTATTTTTTATTATTTTTTTTTTGCGGTACGCGTGCCTCTCACTGTTGTGGCCTCTCCCGTTGCGGAGCACAGGCTCCAGACGTGCAGGCTCAGCGGCCATGGCTCACGGGCCCAGCCGCTCCGCGGCATGTGGGATCTTCCCGGACCGGGGCACAAACCCGTGTCCCCTGCATCGGCAGGTGGACTCCCAACCACTGTGCCACCAGGGAAGCCCGCTCCAACCCTCTTGATGGCAGGAAGACCCCGACGGTTGAGGTGCTCCTCTGAAATCACACACAGGGCATTTCAAGCAGGACCTGACCCAGAACCAGCTCTCTTAACTCCAGAGCCCATGTCACCAGACTTTTGAATTTCATAGAAATTCAGAAAACTGTTTTTTTTTTAATTAATTAATTTATTTATTTTTGGCTGCGTTGGGTCTTCGTTGCTGCACGTGGGCTCTCTCTAGTTGCGGCGAGCGGGGGCTACTCTTCCTTGTGGTGCGCGGCCTTCTCATTGCAGTGCCTTCTCTTGTTGCGGAGCACGGGCTCTAGGCGCACGGGCTTCAGTAGTTGTGGCACGTGGGCCCAGTAGTTGTGGCTCGCGGGCTCAGTAGTTGTGGCGCACGGGCTTAGTTGCTCTGCGGCATGTGGGATCTTCCCGGACCAGGGCTCGAGCCCATGTTCCCTGCATTGGCACACGGATTCTCAACCACTGCGCCACCAGGGAAGTCCCAGAAAAGTCTTCTGAGAACTAACAAAGGATCAGTAAAGTTCAACGGCCATCTCTGGCTAGCATCCCTTCGTAAAATGATTACCCCCAACAACGGAGGAAGGACATAAGCTGTGAGCAAAGGCCAGGCCTCGCGTTTGGATATGTTCAGTTTGGAGGGACACTAGGTGATTTCCTCATGTTTCCTCAAAGCAATGACTACTGGGAAATGGGCAAGAGCAGGCAGTGGGTGTGCAAGTGTCCTGGGGCCGCCGTAACAAAGCGCCACAAACTAGGGGCTCTTAAAACAGCAGAAACGTATAGTTCTGGAGCCCTGAAGTCTACAATCAAGGTGTCAGCAGGGCCGAGCTCTCTCTGAGGGCTCTAGGGACGATTCTGTGGCTTGTAGAAGAAGCACTCCAATCCCTGCCTTCATTTACACATGGCTTTCTCCCTGTGTGTCTGTGTCTAAATTCCCCTCTTCTTATAAGGACACGAGGCATTACATTAGGGCCACCCTAATCCAGTACAAACCCATCTTAACTTGATGACATCTGCAAAGACCCAATTTCTAAATATAAGGTCACACTCACAGATTCTGGGGGTTAGGACTCGAACAGATCTTTCTAAGGGATACAACTCAAGAGGGCTGAGCAGGCCAGCATTATGGGGCACCCCACCCCCAAGGTCCTTCCCACGCTGACAGCAAAGTGTGAGAAAGACGGATCTGAGGCACGATGCCCTCCCAGATTAGGGAGAAGGCTTGGACTGCCAGGGACAGCTGGGGACCCCTGGGCTGTCCCACCTTCCCTCACGTTTCCCTTCCAGGGAGTAACTGTCTGGAGGTCAGCCAGGTGCCCGCTGGCAAACGCAGGCCAGGACACAGACCTTTAGTTCCCGGCCAGGGCTGGACCACAACCTGGGGACCCTCCTGAGGAAGAAGGCCAGGAAAAGCCTCAGCCCCAGGCCAGGAAACCGGCCCCGCCAAGGGGACAGATTCACAGCAGAGGGAAATTCACACTTCGGCCTTTTGGAGGGCAGGAGGGCTTGACTTTGCTGTGAGGGCCCCTGTGTGCCCTCCCAGGACGCATGCAGAGACACAGCAGCAGCCACCAGCCTGGCCTGACCTCAGTCCTCTGGACGGGGACCAGAGTTTGCTCACAGGCTCCCTGGAGACTGAGACTGCAGGGGGACTTGAGTCAACCGAAACTACATGCTTCCCAGAGAGGGGCGGAAACCAGCCTGAGGTCACACAGCAATCATTCAGAGCCAACGTGAGAGACGTGTCTCCCAGTTCTGCCCGTGAGAGCCTTTTACCCACCACGATGGCCTCTATCAGGGGAGGTTTTTGCCCTGGGGAACCAGGGTTGATTTTGTAATGGTTTTGTAGAGCGTCAGGAAGAAAATATCACACTTCCCAGCCAGACCTGCTGGACACCTGATGTTTGGGAAAAGGAAAGAGAGAAGTAACGCTGACTGAACACCTACTGTGCACCACATGCTTCAAGCCCACATTCCTGCCCATCTTACCTGTGAGCAGCGCGAGGCCCAGGGCGGCTGGAGTCGGCCAAGGGTTCTCGTTCCCTCTCAGGATGGCAGTTCACCTCGCTGAGCCTCAGTTTACTCACACCTGTAAAATGGGATCACAAGCTCAGCGTCACAGGTGGTCACTAGGATTAGGGATCCCATCCCAGGAATGGGCACACAGTAGGTGCTCAAGAAAGGCGACGTTCGCTAATTATTAGAGAAGTGCAAATCAAAACTACAATTATTTCTCACACCAGTCAGAATGGCCACCATTAGAAAGTCTACAAATAACAAATACTGGAGAGGATGTGGAGAAAAGGGAACCCTCCCACACTGTTGGTGGGAATGTAAATTGGTGCAGCCACTATGGAGAACAGTATGGAGGTTCCTTAAAAAATTAAAAATAGAGTTACTGTATGATCCAGCAATCCCACTCCTGGGCATACATCCAGAGAAAACTATAACTCAAAAAGGTACCTGCACCCCAACGTTCATAGCAGCACTATTTACAATAGCCAAGACATGGAAACAACCCAAACATGCACCAACAGATGAGTGGATAAAGATGTGGTACGTATATATACGATGGAATACTACCCAGCCATAAAAAGGAATGAAATAATGCCATTTGCAGCAACAGGGATGGACCTGGAGATTATCATACTAAGTGAGGTAAGTCAGACAGAGAAAGACAAACACCATATGATGTCACTTATCTGTGGAATCTAACATATGACACGAATGAACTTATCTACAAAACAGAAACAGACTTGTGGCTGCCAAGGGGGTGCGGAGGGATGGAGTGGGAGTTTGGGGATTAGCCGATGCAAACTATTATACAGAGAATGGATAAACAACAAGGTCCTGCTGTAGAGCACAGGGAACTACATTCAATATCCTGGGATAAACGATAATGGAAAAGACTATGAACAAGAATATACGTAGGGCTTCCCTGGTGGCGCAGTGGTTGAGAGTCCGCCTGCCGATGCAGGGGACACGGGTTCGTGCCCCGGTCCGGGAAGATCCCACATGCCGCGGAGCGGCTGGGCCCGTGAGCCATGGCCGCTGAGCCTGGACGTCCGGAGCCTGTGCTCCGCAACGGGAGAGGCCACAACAGTGAGAGGCCCGCGTACCGCAAAAAAAAAAGAATATATGTAGATGTATAACTGAACCACTTTTCTGTACAGTAGAAAATAACACAACGTTGTAAATCAACTCTACGTTAATCAATTTTAAAAAAAGAAGGTGATGTTTTGATTTTCTATCGCTGCTGCAATACATTTCCACAAACTCTGCAGCTTCAACAACACATGCTCAGCATCTTCCATCTGGAGGTCGGAAATTCAACACAGGGCTCACGGGGCTAAACCAAGGTATCAGTGGTGCTGCCTGAGGTTCTAGGGGGCAAGCTATTCGTTGCCCTTTCAGCTTCTAGCAGCGGCCCCTGGTCCTTGGCTCACGGCCCCCTTGTCCATCTTCAAAGCCAGCGACACTGCATCTCTGAACCTCCTCCACTGCCTCCTCTTTCTCTGACCACAGCTGGGAAAGCATCTCTGATTTCAAGAACTCATGCGATTCCACTGGACCCACCCGGATCACCCAGGATCATCACCCCGTCACAAGGTCCTCAACTCAAGCACGCCTGCAAAGTGCCTTCTGCCACGTCAGGTCACGTACACAGCGACTCCGGGAATTAGGCTGCGGTGGGGGCAGGCAGCGGGCATTACTCTGCCGACCACAGGTGAGCTGAATTTCATAAAGCAAGGGATGCCTGGGCTGGTCTCGGCAGTTCTTTTTGGAAGAAGAGGATTCCACTAAAACCAGCTCCCTCGAGGGCCGTTTCCCATCCCTGCTGTTTTTGACTCTTTTCAAAGAGGCTCTGTCTAGCCAAGGAGACAGGGTCAGGGCTGCCAAACCTTTGCTTCAAAATAAACCCTACTCGGAAATTTCCACGGGACCAGGCCCTTTTCTCCCCCCTCCCCCCAGAGACCTGCTTGAAATCCCAAACCAAGCGGGACGTCTTATAGCAAGACCATCAGACCCCAAGCTCTCCCGAGAAGGAGGTTTTTGTTGTCGTTTGGGTGTTCTTTCGTCCGTTTGTGTTCCCCTGTCAAACTAAACAGCACTGGGCATACTGTTACACAGGCAGTGAACTGGTTTAGAACATCACCCTCGACTCAGGAAAGGGTTTTACGGTTGTCATCCTCAAAAGGACCTAATCTGTCCCCCCACCCAGCTTACATGCTCCAGGGTCCCTCCCCGTTGCCTTCAAAGAGCGCTCGGCTATTTCACAAGCTCTGCACGTTTACAGCGAGCGTTTTTATGCCGACAGTGAGGCGAGCACGTAAATCCCACTTGCCTAACACCCAGCATCTTCTGATTTTATTTGATTCACCCGGGAAGTCACCATTTACCACGGGCTCGGCATCAGATGTTTTGCACGGGAAGGCGTGCCCTTGTTTTGCATTTCAAGCAGGTTCACAGGGACAGACGTCATCTCATGAATTCCCCCAGCAGTGTCCTCGCGTTCCTGGTGAGCAGAAAGGGTGGGACGGCGAGGGGCCTTGGTTACGGTCACTCAGCCCATAAGCGGCAGGGCTGGGTTTGAAGCTGGGTCCTCTGACTTTAGATCATCCCAGTTTACTGTGGCCGCACTCATCCTCTCTTGTGATACTGTGACAGAAAAAGAATGTATATTTGGTCCTAAAACCTGTGTACTTTGCTGATGGGGAGATAGGGGTGTCCTTGGTTATCCGTAACAAGCCCCTCTCCACCACACCTGAGTTTATGCTAACAAGGTGATTCTTGGCGGCTCCCAGAGAGCTTCAGCACGGGGGCCAGGTGCCGGAGGCACCAATCATGTGGTTAGAGTATTGGAACTTACAGCTCCATCCCCGACCTCCAGGGAGGCGAGTGGGGCATCCCCAGCGGCAAATGAGGTTATCGGCCACGCCGATATAATGGAACCTCCATGAAAACGCTTCTGGGTTGGTGAACACACACACGTGTCGAGAGGGTGTGCACCCCAAACTCCATGGGGACAGAAGCTCCCACACTTGGGACCCTTCCAGACCTCTCACTACGTACCTCTTCGTCTGGTTATTCATCTGTATCCTTTACAATAAATGTAAAGGATTTACATTTACAATAAAAGTAAATGTAAGGAAAGTATTTCCCTGAGTTCTACGAACCATTATAGCAAATTATTGAACCTGAGGAGGGGGTTGTGGCATTCCTTGATTTGTTGCCAAGTCAGAGAGAAGGGTGGGTGAGCTGGGGACCCACCACTTGCGACTGGCATCTGAAGTGGGGGCAGTCTTGCGGGACTGAGCCCTTAACCGTGGGGTCTGCTCTCACCCTGGGTGGTTAGTATCAGAATCGAATTGCGTTGTAGGACACCCAGCTGGCGTCCACAGAGAAGTGGAGAATTGCTTGGTGGGGAAAATCTACGTGTTTGGTGTCAGAAGTGTTACGAGCAAAAAATAGATCTTAGTAGTAACTATATTCATTCATGTATCAATTCATTCCATGTTTAGCAAGTTCGTTAAGTCAACTTTGCACTGCGGTAAGTGACGAGCAAGACAGGCACATCCCTACCCTTCCCGAACGCGCTGACAAGGGAAGAACCACCTCCAGATCAGTGTCTCTCCACCCCCGTACGCCCAGGACTGTGTAACTTAACAACAGAAACAGCAGAGAGTCTGATTCAATTGCTGTGTGGTGGGGCCATCACACCGGTAATTAAAATTTTTCTTTTAAATTTAGTTATGCAGTGGGCTGAATAAGGGCCCCCAAACATAGCAGGTCCGAATCCCTGGGACCTATCAATGTTACCTTATATGGCAAAGACTTTGAAGATGTAACTAAGGATCCTGAGATGGGAAAATTATCCTGGATTATCTGGTGGGTTGAGATGCAATCACACGTATCCTTATAAGGGAGGCAGAGGGAGATTACACAACCACAGAGGACATGGCAGCGTGACAGCAGAAGCCGGGAGAGCAACGTGGCCACCAGAAGCTGGAGGAGATAAAGAAGGTCCCTCCCCTAGAGCCTCCAGAGAGAGCACAGCCCTGTGACACCTGATTTCACACTTCTGGCTTCTGGAACTGTGAGAGAATACACTCCTGTTTCTTTAAATCACCGAGTTTTGGTAATGTATTACAGCTGTCACGGGAAGCGAATACATAGGCGTAACAGTTATATGTGCAAATCTCAAGTGCACGGCACGATGAACCGTTATATGCGCACACACCACGTGTCACCATGGAGATCAAGATAGAACATTCCCAGCGTCCCAGGTTTCCGGTCACTACCCTCCCCAGAAATATCCACTCTCCCCACCTCTATCACGATAGACTGGTTTTGCCTGTTCCTGAACCCCATATACGAGGCATCATACGACATGTACTCTTGTGTGAGGCTTCCTTTGCTCAACTTAATAGCAGTGCAATTCATGCCTGTTGTTGGGTTTTTTTGGTCTTTCTTGGTGAGTATTATTCCACTATATGAATATATATGATCTGTTCATCTAGTCTCCTATGGATGGACATCTGGGCTGTTCCCAGCCATCAGCTATTAATAATACACCCACAGGAACACAGGCCTACAGTCTTCTGTAGACGTGCCTCATTTATCTCAGGCCCATACCTAGGAGTGGACTTGCCGGGTCTGGATTGGTAATTTTCTGTAGCTTCCGGGTGATTCAAATGTATAATCAGGTGTGAGGACCACCCTCCAGGCCAATGGTTCTCGACTGGCAACAGTTTTGCCCCCCAGGGGACATCTGGCAAAGTCTGGAGACTCTTTTGGTTGTCACAACTCAGAGCTGTGCTAAGAGTGTGTTGGGGAGAGAGGTCGGGGCTGCTGGTACACCTCCTGCAGTACATGGGGCACCCCCTACCCAGCACCCACACACACACACACACACACACACGCACACGCACACACACACACAAAGGAATTAGCCAGCTCCCATGGTGGGACCTGAGGGTGGGAAACTCGACCGTAGCCAGAACGCGCGACCCCACACGTGAATAACCCACCTGCACGTAAGCTGCAGCTCGCAGGGCCTGGCCCCGCTTGGAGGGGTGGGACCGGCTG